AGATTTGGACTCTTTGTTGTTTATCAATCTCACATTGCACTTTGTGAGATTAGATTCAGAACCGTGACAAGAGTCCGAATTGTAGGAGACCAATTCACGCCTCTCTAAAAGGGGGGCGCGCGAAGAAAGTCGAGTCTACACTCAGCTATAGAAAACTTTTCCATAAAATATTGTCCATAGAAAATGCTTTCCCAGGTTTGGTTGCGACATTGAAACTAAACTAATGTGCTAGTTATAGTATTAGTGGGGTGATGGGGGCGGCAATAGTGGTTTGATAGAGGTGGCGGACGGGTGGTGGTTGAGGAATAGTAGTGGTGGTGTGGCTATTGGTAAGATCGTAGTTTGAAAACGCTCCAATAAATTCATTTTCCGTTGTACCAAATAAAAGTTTTTCTAATTTTAGTTTAAACCCACATAAAAGGTTTTTGGGTTAATTACAAAAAAAAAACCCTACGGTTTCGCGTGTTTTTTAATTTAAACTCCAGAATTTCAATTTTGACAAATTAAATCCTAAAGTTTTATCCGTGTTTCAATCTGGCCCCTTTGTCCATCCCCATCATATTAAACTAACGGAAATTTGTACAGAATTTCAGATTCAAGCCCACATGTTTAAACACCTGTATCTCCCTCATTGTAACTCTGTTTCACCTTATTTTTACGTCGTTGGATTCACCTCATGGCCTAATTTTCATTCCACTCTTCATGCGCCTTGTTCCGCATCCTTTTACTTGCCGTCGAAGCTCCGAAAGTTGGCCAAAAATAAATTTTTTCTCTCTTTAGGCAAAATTTTCAGATTCAAATCCACATATTCAAACATTTGTATCTCCCTTGTCGTAACTCCGTTTTACCTCATTTTCACGTCGTTAGATTCAACTCATGGCTTAGTTTTTATTTCATCCCTCATATGCCTTGTTCCACATCTTTTTGCATGTCATCGGATCTCCAAAAGTTGGCCAATAATAAGCTTTCTCTCTCTTAAAATCTTATTTTTGGTTGGAGGTTTGGAGTGGAGAACAAAGCTTTATGGAAACATATTTTGAGTTGCAAATATGGTATGGTTGGGGTACCAGATTCCAGATCAGTATCCAGATTATGGACAGATGTTATTCAGTTTGCTGCACAAAGACCAGATTTGGTTGATTATTATTTATCAAACCTTAAATTAGTTGCAGGTAATGGGAAAAGAATCCAGTTCTGGGAGGATAAATGGTTAAACAATTTATGCTTGAATGAGGAATTTCCTAGGTTATATAGATTATCTAAGGAGAAGGGTAGCACCATCATGCAGGTGTATCAAAGGAGAGGCTCATCACATGATTGGAATTTTCTTTTTAGAAGAGCTCTATTAGCTTGGGAGGAGGAGGAGGTTGTAAGGCTGCAAGATGTACTAAGGAATGCACCTTCACTCACTGTAGAGTCTAAGGATTCATGTTTATGGCTGGCCAATCTATCAGGTACCTACACAGTAGCTACAACATGGAAGTGGTGGGAGTCTTTGAAAGGTAAGGGTGCTAGAGTTATTGATGTGCTGTGGAAGAATATTGCCCCACCTAAGGTGAAATTCTGTGAATGGTTAGCTTGGAAAGGCAGACTTAAAACTTCAACATTTTTGAAGAGGATTGGTGTGTTGAATCTGGAAGCTAGTTCGTTGTGCTTATTGTGCAAAGTAGAGGAGGAGACAATAAACCATGTATTATTGTTTTGTCCTCTAGTATAGAATGTGTGGACTGATATGTTTAAGTGGTGGGATTTGGTTTGAGTGTTGCCGGGATCAGTTGAGGTTTTATTGCATTGGTGGGCAGGTTTCAAGTTCAAAAAGGTGGTTCAAACAATGTGGAAAGTTGTTTCCTTAGCAGTTATGTGGTCAGTTTGGAAAGCTAGGAATGAGTGCCTTTTTAAAGGAAAGATTGTTGATAGGAATGAATTATTTGAATTAGTGAAAGTGAGGGTAGCACTATGGAGTAAACAAAGTATAAGAGGTTTGCAGTATTTAGTGGAGGATATTGTCACCAACCTTGATAGGATCAAAGCTTGATTGTGGTGGTGATGGTTGGCGTGCCGGTATTTTTGGTTTCTATAACAGTGGGAGTGGCTAGTGTTTGTTTTCTGTTGTTTTTCTTGTTTTGCTTGGGTTAGTTTCTCATCAACCTGGGGTTCGCTAGCATATGATTGTGCTAGATTTGTGGTGCCAACCTAATTACGTTCACTTATTTTAGCTATGATGCTTGTAGCCTTTCTCTTGCTTTATTGATGTTAGTATGATCTGTATTTTCTTTTTATCAATAAAGTTTCTCTTTTCTTATCAAAAAAAAAAAAAATTATGCACCTAAATGATAGCCAACAGGGTGGATTTGAATGATAGCCAATAAGGTGGAAATTGGATTTTAACGAATGACATCATTCTGTTTTACTAATTAAAGGATGTACATAGGGAAGCGGCCTTTGGCACGAGTCAGGGTTTCCTAAATTTCCTAAAAACAAAATATTTAGGTGACGACTCTGTAATCTGGCAAAGCAGTCCATGTTTGGCTCTTTTTGATTCAAAATCGATTTTTCAAAACCACACTACAACAAAAAAAGCCTTTGGTGACAGACTGATTTTGTCTCCAAATATCAAATTTTCGTCACCAAAGTGATTTGTGACGAAAAAATTTTGTCATCATGTTTGTCGCTTATACGTTGTCGCTGAAAGTACCTGGTGACGAAAAATAGTTTCGTCACCTATTTTTCATTTTTAGCGACGAAATTTTTCATCTTCAAATGTTTCATTTTTCGTCCTCTATAACATCAATTTCGTCACTAGAATTAGATAATATTTTATTTTAATTGTTTTGGCGACGAAATATTTAGTCACCAAATAGGTTTTAGTGATGAAATTTTTCCTCACCAATGATATAGATTAAGGTGACAAAAAAATTCGCCACTAAAATGAGTTTAAAAAAAATTCTTTAATGACAAAAAATATTTTGTCACCAAATATTTCAATTTAGTGACGAAATATTCAGCAAATGTGACGAAATTATTTGTTTGGTACTATATCATTAGTGACAAAATTATTCAACATGTTTAAAAACTAATAGCGACATTTTTTTGTCGCTAATAACAATTAAAACACTTTAAAATGATTTTCAATTTAAAATTTTCTCTTCACTAAAAATTCCCTGTGCATTTCTATAACCTGTTCAATAAAATATCTATTACAAATCAATAAAAAAATCTGTTCATTTTCATAAACACCACAGTTGAATTTCAGCACAATATCTACAAAAATTCAATATCAACTGCATGCGGATTACCAAACCTGTCTCCTAATATCCACAAAAAACATGTCTACTAATATCCACAAAAATACAATATTAACCGCATGCGGATTACCAAACACGTCTCCTAATATCTATAAAAAACATGTCTACTAATATCCACAAAAATAAAACATTAAGTGTGAATGACCAAACATATCCTGTAATACCCACAAAAATATAAAATTTATAATGCAATCAAAATACATGTAAGGTAAAATGAACAAAAACACAAAAAGAGCTAGCTTCTGCTCTCCAGATTACCAAACATGTCCATATTTAATCTCAAATCTGCAACAAAACAAAACACAAAAAAGAAAAAAAGAAAAAAAAAAAAAAGAATGCAAGTTAAACAATTATTATCTTATCAATTAAATATACAATTTAACATGCATTTTTGGACTTAGTTTTCAAACTGGGAGTCCCGTGCTAATTCTGTAAGTTTACACACGTTACAATGGTCGCTTCCGAGGTGTTTGAGGTGTTCCACAGGCCTTCTCGTGGTTGTTTAACGATTTTGACCCCTGATGGCTTATTTTCAAACTTAAGTGTGAAAAAAGTACATTTTTTGACTTAGTTTTCAAATCGGGAGTCCCATGCTAGTTCCGTACGTTTCCATAACTTACATTGGTCCCTCGCAAAGTGTTTAAGGTGTTCCTCGGGCCTTCTCGTGACTATTACACGATTTTAACCCCTGATGGCCTATTTTTAAGCTTAAGTGTGAGAAAAATACATTTTTCGACTTAGTTTTTAAACCGGAAGTCTCGTGCTAGTTTCGCAAGTTTCCACAACTTACATTGGTCCCTCTCGAGGTGTTTGAGGTGTTCCCCGGGCTTTCTCGTGACCATTACACGATTTTGGCTACCGATGGCCTATTTTCAAGCTTAGGTGTGAGAAAAATGCATTTTCCAACTTAGTTTTCAAACCGGGAGTCCTGTGCTAGTTTCGTAAGTTTTCACAACTTACATTGGTCCATCCCGAGGTGTTTGAGGTGTTCCCCAGGCCTTCTCGTGATTGTTATACGATTTTGGCCCCATATGGTCCATTTTCAGGCTTAAGTGTGAGAAAAGTGCATTTTTCGACTTAGTTTTCAAACCGGGAGTCCCGTGCTAGTTCTGTAAGTTTACACAGGTTACAATAGTCGGTTCCAAGGTGTTTGAGGTGTTCCCCGGGCCTTCTCATGGTTGTTTAACGATCTTGGCCCCCGGTGGCGTATTTTCAAGTTTAAGTGTGAAAAAAGTACATTTTTCGACTTAGTTTTCAAACCGGGAGTCCCGTGCTAGTTCCGTAAGTTTCCATAACTTACATTGGTCCCTCCTGAGGTGTTATCGTGTTCCCCAAGTCTTTTCATGACTGTTACACAATTTTAGCCACCGATGGCCTATTTTCAAGTTTAAGTGTGAGAAAAATGCGTTTTTCGGCTTAGTTTTCAAACTGGGAGTTCCGTGCTAGTTCTGTAAGTTTCCACAACTTACATTGGTCCCTCTCGAGGTGTTTGAGGTATTCCCCGGGCCTTCTCGTGACTATTACACAATTTTGGCCACTGATGGCCTATTTTCAAGCTTAAGTGTGAGAAAAATACGTTTTTCGACTTAGTTTTCAAATCGGGAGTCTCATGCTAGTTCCGTAAGTTTTCAAAACTTACATTGGTCCCTCCCAAGGTGTTTGAGGTGTTTTCCAGACCTTCTCATGACTATTACACGATTTTGGCCCTATATGGCCTATTTTCAAGCTTAAGTGTGAGAAAAGTGTATTTTTCAACTTAGTTTTCAAATCGGGAGTCCCGAGCTAGTTCCGTAAGTTTCCACAACTTACATTGGTCCCTATCGAGGTGTTTTAGGTTTGTCCCAGGCCGTCTTGTGGCTGTTACACGATTTTTGCCCCATATGGCCTATTTTCAAGCTTAAGTGTGAGAAAAGTGCATTTTTCGACTTAGTTTTCAAACCAAGATTCCCGTGCTAATTTCGTAAGTTTCCACAACTTACATTGGTCCCTCCCAAGGTGTTTGAGACGTTTCCCAGGCCTTCTCGTGATTGTTACACGATTTTGACCCTTGATGGCCGATTTTCAAGCTTATGTGTGAGAAAAGTGCATTTTTCAACTTAGTTTTCAAGCCGGGAGTCCTATGCTAGTTTTGAAAGTTTTCATAACTTATATTGGTCCCTCTTAAGGTGTTTGAGATGTGTCCCGGACCTTCTCGTGATTGTTACATGATTTTGGCATCATATGGCCTATTTTCAAGCTTAAGTGTAAGAAAAGTGCATTTTTCGAGTTAATTTCATGCCTGTACGTTAGAATAGTGAAAATTTCAAAGTAGTTTTCAAATTGGTAGCCACGTGCATATTTCAGTGTTTGTGATGTTTATGCATCTCAATATCATCCGTCTGGTAACTGCGTTCAAACCTCTACGTAAAATAGTTTATGCATCTCCATAACATTCATATGTTAGACAACTAATCAAAAAAAATAAAAAATAAATAAAAATTATCCCCCTTAGACTTATATGGTAAAGCTCACATTCCATCAAATCAGAAATACCCAACAAGATTCCAGATGGAGTGAAAGGCCAAAAAGAATTACTTTCTCAAATAAGTCTGGGAATGAATGCACTTTAAAAGCAGCCTTTAATTAGTGCACTTAGTAAAATAAATGGATGTACTTCAGATAACAAAGCATGCCAAGCTGTAAAAAAATGCACAAGTTAAAAAAAAAAAAACAAAACAAAACAAAAACGAAAACTCATTTGATATAGAGATGTTGGAACCAAAGTCTCATATGGCTCAGTTAAGGTGATTACTTCACAACACCAAGATCTTTCAGCCGCTCAACATCGGCAAAGAATGGGATAGCACCTAATAGTACACACTGAAAATGGAGACATGATTTTTGATAAGCAAAACTACAAATGGACATAGTAGAAGCAGCACTAACTTTAGTTCATATTGCAAAGAGCATATCTCATTATAAGCACTGAACAATTTCTAAACCAGTCAGAATACATGATGATGGTTTTTTTTTTTTTTTTTTAAATTTCCTGGCACAGGGGTGTCCTTAGATGAAATCATGATTACCTAAATAAATCAGTAAACCTTGATTATACAAAAACTCCAATTGAACATGAATCACATGGCAAAAAATGTATAAATAAAATAACATAAAATGCTTTACAAAGTGAGAACAAAGCAAGAACAAGATGACATTATAATCCTAAAGTCAATCCTTAAAGATGAAGATGCTGATAAGAGGTGAAACCATTATAATCATTGAAAATTTAAGGGCCACCAAGATGACATGAAAGAGAAAGCATTAGCTAAGCACAAAAATTAATGAAGTAACAAAAACAAGGCAAAAGTGAATCCTAAAGTCATAATGTACAAACTAAACAATGATGAAGTAGTTTTCTACTTTACGCAAGTGTTTAGGCTTTTTCTACATGAACATAACTTGAAAGTTTTACAGTAGTCAAACAGCAATGTTAGGTACCCAGAAACAAGCATTGGATGGTTGAGCTTCATTTCAAGTGTGGATCCCATTATATAGAATTGAATCAAAAGCACACATCAATATTTTGGATAACTTTCTGGACATATTTTCTGATTTTATATATTTTCTGGTAGTCAAACATACTAAAACTATAATTATATCATATTTTAGTTATTACAAGTCTATTGTATCAAGATCAAGGATAGGATCATACAAAAAAAGGAAGTAGGTGAACAAAATTAATTTCCATCCCTTGCTCGTTAAAGTATTGAATCTATTGTCTTATACTAAATAATCCATCCCCTTTATTTTAACCAATTATAATAGAAGATTAGATCCACTTGCCTATCAGCAGAACAAAATTAATTTCCAACAAAATGGGAGTTTTTAACAGTAACATTATTTTCTTGATATATATATTGTTAATTTGTATGATATTTTCTTTATAATATTGTTCATGGCTATCCATTCCAGACCAAAAAGAAAACAAGCCATTGAGGTCATTGTATCCATTCCTCACATCAGGCATCTCTACCTCCTTGTTATTATAGCTATAGTTTTCCCAAAACGCATGACATATAAGAAACTACGACCTTTTCTGGTTGGGAAGTAATTACTCTGAAAGTTTTCATTTTGCCAAATAGTTGAAAACATACATATTCTACCATCTTTGGTAGCTTTATAACAAAAAACCTCAAGACATCATTTTTTTTCCTTTTCTGTTTCTTTTAGTGACAATGGAATTAGTCATGATATTGGTTTGGAAGAACAACTTAGGAATATAAGTTCCTATCCACATTTTACTTAACAATCATTCATTAGCCACTTTTTTCCATAGACAAATCTTATGAGTGTACACATCAATCTTAGCATTCACATACCACTTTTGATTTAAACTTCTCAATAGAATCAACAAAAGTCAACAGTGCTGCTATATTAATTAAGATCAGTGCACCAATGATAATCAAAACAACATCAAGTGATCATCAAGTTACTAGTGGAAGCTCAGTTTTTTATGTCTTTTATACATAATTAAGCAATTCTAAACAACACAACATAGGTATTATAACCTTCGCACATCTCTAAGATTTCAATTTTCAATACCCAGAGACCAGAATCTAAAAAATCATTTTGCATTATTTAAAATAGATTCAGCATGTTAAAACAAAATAGATAAACTAGATTGATTAAAAGAAAGCTGCATGAATTACGGACACAATTACCTCTTTGAGAAGCATTTCAGTTGTCCTCTTCCTATTGCTTACGTCGATAATCTTGTTCAAATCTGTCCAAGGCATGTAACTCATGATACAGTTCCTGCTACCAAAAGGAAGTTCTATCTTTCCTCCATTCAAGTTCTACAGGATAACATCTACACATTAACCAAGTTGTAATTTATGAACCACGCGATCTGCTCCACTGTTCTAGCCTGTCAAAGAGTAATCATATTTTGCTTGATAGACTAAGCAACTATCTTTAGTGCAGTGACAACTGACAACGGAGTTGGCACTGAGAAAGTTAAGGGAAGTGATTACAGATATTTGTAAGGTTATTCACCCAAAAAAGATATATGCAAGGAAAGTTTGTGCAGGATGGTGATGACAAGCATGTGAGTGATAGGGGAGATCCAATTTTTAATAGAGTGAGACGTTCTCATGCTATGAGGTCAGAGAACGGGATTAGAGACAGGTGTAAGTAAGGAATTCAGAAAGCATATTGAATAAACAGTGGGAGATATATTGGGTTCACTGGAATGCTAATACCTAACGTGAGAAATGGATAAACTATAGCTATAGCTATATTGAACAAATGTGTCCCAAACTTAAAATTCCAATTCCATCAGAACATTAAAATACTTTTGTTGTCGTGTCATACTCAATTCCCCAGGGTAAACCAATCAACGGGTCAAATGATAGCAGAAAAAAAAAAACCAAACAAAACCAATAGCCATATCACCACACCAAAATTGAGATACAAATAAAATCCACTAACAGAATTTAAGTTACAATATGCAACCTACCAACCATTTAGTTACACAAACCAGTATAGAATTATATGTAATTACTTTGTACCAGTTGGGCACATGAGAGTCCCTTGCTTGTTGATCTTCCCAACACGAATTGAAACAAGCGGAATGCACAAGCACCTAGCTAGAATACCAACTTTTGATGGCTCAAAGTGCTGTTTAATAATAAACATGAAATATGTAAGTTACTAATCAAATGAATTACAACCAAAAATACATATAATAGTAGATCTTTCCCCTTTTCCGTTTTCTTTCTCAAAGCTTTTGCTTCAAGTTCATCCTCCTCCTCCTCATCATCATCATCATCATCATCTGTCTCCTCTTCCTCTTCCTCAACCTCCATTGTATAAGCTCTTTTGTTTCCACCTTTATCTTTCATAGTAGCTTTTCGTTTATGCCCCCAAAAGTGTTGACCCAGCATTATTTAATAGGATAGTTTGACATGATAATAGGCATTGAGAAATTTAACCAAACAATTGGTGGGCATGTCCTCAAACATAGACCTGTGGTAAAGTAACTCAAAGATGCAATATAAATAAAAATCTTTCACCTCAAAATCTGTACTATTCATGCGTAATATATGATTTGAAATAAGCTCATAAACTAAAATCATATAATGCATCGGCTAAATCATAAAACTAATTATAATACTTGTGTACAACTGGTACTACCCAAAGAAGAAAATTACCAATTGTATCACATTCATGCACTAAGCAATTGAAATTTAAAGATCAAAACAATAACAATCATTCTTTTTATCTACAATTCTCTATAACTGAACAAACATGTTAGACATACTGCAAAACAGAGGAGAAACTCACGAAATTTGAAAAAATGACCCCGATTGACATGGTGCAAATGACTTTGTCATCAAGTTGAGTCAACTGACCTTTTCTTTGAGGAAGCTGGAAGCCCAATTCCTTCATTCAGTAGTCATTTTGACACAGGAAATAATTTTCAACCAACCCAGACATGCATATCTTTCTGCAATCTTCAGTATTTCACAAATAGAATATAGGGAAGAAAACCAATTGACAGCAATTCATGTATATTTATATGCAACCACAAGGATTTGCAAATAACCACTTAAGCTCTCTATAGAATTGTGCAGTCAAAATTACTACATAAGAAAAAATGTCTGCAGAAATCTGCTTCAATAAGGAATGAAGATGATGTCTACTTCACCCGTGAAATAACAATTTCTAAAGAGTAAGAAAATTATTATAGCTAGAATCTAATTCAATAACAAACACAAGCATTATATATCAAAGCTAGATGTAGAAATTGATGATAAAAAACATTAAATATCAAGAGGGAAACAATAAATTCAGAAAGGGGGAAATAGACCACTTCAACCAAACCCATTTTTTGCAATCAATACCAATTTAAATTGAACAAATCATAACAACCCTAGAGCAAGATTCAGAAAGGGGAAATATAGAAAGGGGGACAGAGAGGGAGAGAGAGTGATCGAGGTAGACAGAGCGAGAAACAAAGAGAAAGAAACCGCGAGTGAGAGAGAGACAGATCGAGAGGGAGAGAGTACCTGTGGTCTGACGGTGACGGTGACGGTAGCAGTGGCGAGCGGCAGTTGCGGTGGCGAGCGACGTTGGTGGTCTGCGCTGAGGTGAGGTGAGGTGATGTAGGGTGAGGTTTGGTGGTCGAATATCTGTATGAGAAGAAGAACTGATCGATGTATCTGTGTGAGAAGAAGAAAAATTCTATAAGGCGCCAATATATTAAGAGGAGCAATGGCAGAGGGTCCAAATTTTGTGGCTCAAATGTGGTTTAAATGGCCAAAACGACGTCGTTTTGGCCATTTAAACCACATTTGAGCCACAGAATTAGGGCCCCTAAACATTTTTCTTAAAAAAAAATCCGTTTAACTCTTAACCAACGGAGCCTTAGTAGGACGGCGTGCCTCTAATCAACGTACAACCAGAAGGCCCAAACAGTGTCAGAGAACTCGTTCAGCACTTGATGTGAGCAGTTTTGGACTTTGCTAGACATCACGCCTTTGTGTTTGTTGGAAAACTTTTTATAAAAATAAAAGAAATATTTTTTAAAAATCTAATATAAAATATTATACATTTCGCACTATTTCATCATATAAAATTATATAAAATTAACAAAATTTAACTAATAGTTTAACTGATCAGTCAATTTTAATATTTAATCAGTTTAATTTAATTTACTGATCAGCCAGACTGTTGATTAAAATTCGTTAATTTCATATAATTTTGTACGAAGAGTTGGTAAAGGATGTCTAATTTTTTGGCACACCTCTACACATAACCACTTTTAAAAAAAATTATAAAAAAAAAACCAACACAGCCTAACAAATAAAATTAAATTAAATTAAAAAAAAAATTGAACAGTCAATTTTATTACCCAATCAATCCAACCCAACTCACTTACAAAATGTCTAATTTTTTAGCACACTTCTATATATAATCACCCCTATAAAGAAAAGCGAAAAAAAAAAACTAACACAGCTTTGAAAGAAAAGAAAAAAAAAAAGAAAGAAAGAATTTCGAGGCAAAAAAAAAAAAAAAAAGGATTTCGAGGCAATTTCGAGGCCTCAAATTCGAGGCCTCAACCATTTTCCATATATTAATTTCCCTCTAAAATATTTAGTAACTAAACCATTAATTAGTGTCAAAATTATTTTCTCACTAAAGATGAAAATATTGGCCACGAAAATAGTTTCCTCACTAAATGATATCAAAATATTTAATATTATTGGTGACGAAAATATATTCGTCATTAATAATCTTATAATTGGTGACCAATTTTTTCCTCACCAAAAGTCTCAAAATTTGGGCACCCTCCGAAAAAAATAGCGGAAAAATCTTTGGTGACAAAAAAAATATAAATGATGACGAAAAATAAGTTCATCACCTAATTTTTTTATTATGTATGTAGATTGGCGATGAAATTTTATTTGTCTCTAAAAATAGTACATTTGGAGACAAAATATTATTTTCATCATTAAAATGTACATATTTCATTTCAAAATTTATTTCCATCATTAGTTTTTGTCTCTAAAGACACTTTTTGTTGTAGTGCCAATTGCCAGATTTGGACTCTTTGTTGTTTATCAGTCTCACATTGCATTTTGTGAGATTAGATTCAGAACCGTGACAAGAGTCCGAACTGTAGGAGACCAATTCACGCCTCTCCAAAAGGGGGCGCGCGAAGAAAGTCGAGTCTACACTCAGCTATAGAAAACTTTTCCATAAAATATTGTCCATGGAAAATGCTTTCCCATGTTTGGTTGCGACATTGAAACTAAACTAATGTGCTAGTTATAGTATTAGTGGGGTGATGGGGGCGGCAGTAGTGGTTTGATAGAGGTGGCGGACGGGTGGTGGTTGAGGAATAGTAGTGGTGGTGTGGCTATTGGTAAGATTGTAGTTTGAAAACGCTCCAATAAATTCGTTTTCCGTTGTACCAAATAAAAGTTTTTCTAATTTTAGTTTAAACCCACATAAAAGGTTTTTGGGTTAATTACAAAAAAAAAAAAAAAAACCCTACGGTTTCGCGTGTTTTTTAATTTAAACTCCAGAATTTCAATTTCGACAAATTAAATCCTAAAGTTTCATCCGTGTTTCAATCTGGCCCCTTTGTCCATCCCCATCATATTAAACTAATGGAAATTTGTACAGAATTTCAGATTCAAGCCCACATGTTTAAACACCTGTATCTCCCTCATTGTAACTCTGTTTCACCTCATTTTTACGTCGTTGGATTCACCTCATGGCCTAATTTTCATTCCACTCTTCATGCGCCTTGTTCTACATCCTTTTACTTGCTGTCGAAGCTCCGAAAGTTGGCCAAAAATAATTTTTTTCTCTCTTTAGGCAAAATTTTCAGATTCAAATCCACATATTCAAACATTTGTATCTCCCTTGTCGAAACTCCGTTTCACCTCATTTTCACGTCGTTAAATTCAACTCATGGCTTAGTTTTTATTTCATCCCTCATATGCTTTGTTCCACATCTTTTTGCATGTCATCAGATCTCCAAAAGTTGGCCAATAATAAGCTTTCTCTCTCTTAAAATCTTATTTTTGGATGGAGGTTTGGAGTGGAGAACAAAGCTTTATGGAAACAGATTTTGAGTTGCAAATATGGTGTGGTTGGGGTACCAGATTCCAGATCAGTATCCAGATTATGGACAGATGTTATTCAGTTTACTGCACAAAGACCAGATTTGGTTGATTATTATTTATCAAACCTTAAATTAGTTGCAGGTAATGGGAAAAGAATCCATTTCTGGGAGGATAAATGGTTAAACAATTTATGCTTGAATGAGGAATTTCCTAGGTTATATAGATTATCTAAGGAGAAGGGTAGTACCATCATGCAGGTGTATCAAAGGAGAGGCTCATCACATGATTGGAATTTTCTTTTTAGAAGAGCTCTATTAGCTTGGGAGGAGGAGGAGGTTATAAGGCTGCAAGATGTACTAAGGAATGCACCTTCACTCACTGTAGAGTCTGAGGATTCATGTTTATGGCTGGCTAATCTATCAGGTACCTACACAGTAGCTACAACATGGAAGTGGTGGGAGTCTTTGAAAGGTAAGGGTGTTAGAGTTATTGATGTGCTGTGGAAGAATATTGCCCCACCTAAGGTGAAATTCTGTGAATGGTTAGCTTGGAAAGGCAGACTTAAAACTTCAACATTTTTGAAGAGGATTGGTGTGTTGAATCTGGAAGCTAGTTCGTTGTGCTTATTGTGCAAAGTAGAGGAGGAGACAATAAACCATGTATTATTGTTTTGTCCTCTAGTATAGAATGTGTGGACTGATATGTTTAAGTGGTGGGATTTGGTTTGAGTGTTGCCGGGATCAGTTGAGGTTTTATTGCATTGGTGGGCAGGTTTCAAGTTCAAAAAGGTGGTTCAAACAATGTGGAAAGTTGTTTCCTTAGCAGTTATGTGGTCAGTTTGGAAAGCTAGGAATGAGTGCCTTTTTAAAGGAAAGATTGTTGATAGGAATGAATTACTTGAATTGGTGAAAGTGAGGGTAGCACTATGGAGTAAACAAAGTATAAGAGGTTTGCAGTATTTAGTGGAGGATATTGTCACCAACCTTGATAGGATCAAAGCTTGATTGTGGTGGTGATGGTTGGCATGCTGGTATTTTTGGTTTCTATAACAGTGGGAGTGGCTAGTGTTTGTTTTCTGTTGTTTTTCTTGTTTTGCTTGGGTTAGTTTCTCATCAACCTGGGGTTCGCTAGCATATGATTGTGCTAGATTTGTGGTGCCAACCTAATTACGTTCACTTATTTTAGCTATGATGCTTGTAGCCTTTCTCTTGCTTTATTGATGTTAGTATGATCTGTATTTTCTTTTTATCAATAAAGTTTCTTCTTAAAAAAAAAAAAAAAAAAAAAATTATGCACCTAAATGATAGCCAACAGGGTGGATTTGAATGATAGCCAATAAGGTGGAAATTGGATTTTAACGAATGACATCATTCTGTTTTACTAATTAAAGGATGTACATAGGGAAAATGTAGGCCAACTTTGTGATGTGGTCAGCGTGGATGCTGAATTGTCGATACATAGCTGTTAAACCTGATCCTCTATTGTACTGACACATCATAAGATCGATCACAGTTAGGACCGGCCATAATCAACCACACACAATGAATATATATATGTGTGTGGAGGGGGTAGAGAGAGAGAGAGAGTCAAAGTGACTAATCGTTCAATAATGATGATGAAGCAGTAGCAGCAAGGCAAGAGGAGGAGCCACGGATGAGGAAGAAGAAGAGAAAAAAGAGAGAGAGAAAAAACATATTTTTGGCCAACTTTCGAAGATCTGACGGCATGCAAAAAGAGATGGAACAAGGCATATGAGGGGTGGAATAAAAATTACGTCATGAGTTGAATCCAACGACGAGAAAATGAGGTGAAACGGAGTTACGACGAGAGAGATACAAGTATTTGAATATGTGGATTTGAATTTGAAAATTTTGCCCAAAGAGAGAAAAATCTTATTTTTGGCCAACTTTCGGAACTCCGACGACAAGTAAAAAGGTGCGAAACAAGGCGTATGAAGAGTGGAATGAAAACTACGCCATAAGGTGAATCCAACGTCACAAAAATAAGGCGAAATGGAGTTACAATGAGGGAGATATAGGTGTTTGAACATGTGGACTTGAATCTGAAATTCTGTCCAAATTTCCGTTAGTTTAATATGACGAAGATGGACGGAGGGGCTAGATTGAAACACGAATGAAACTCTAGGGTTTAATTTGTCGAAATTGAAATTCTGGGATTTAAATTGAAAAACACGTGAAACCCTAGGAATTTTTTTGTAATTAACCCAAGGTTTTTTTAGCTAAGTTTTTTTCTAAAAAATATTTTATATGTGTAGACACCCCATTTTTAACCGTCCTTAAGACTTGGGCGCTATTGATAGTTTACTTGGTGATGAAAGTTGTACAGTGCAAGGGTTTGATTTCTTCGGTAAGAGGAGCTCCAAATCCCAACTTCATACCCCTTTTGGACTAAAACGATCTTGATCAAAATATTTTAGACCTTGAAACCCTCTCTTTCAAAATATTTTTGAAACGAAGTTTCTACAATGTTCCGACGCTCGCATTTTGTTAAATGTTGCGCTTTTCGGTAAATCGAGCAAGGACAAAGGGGAAATGAATGAAAGAGAGGTGAAATCTTTGAAAAATCTTTCAAAACACCTTGTTTAGGGGTT